CAGCTAAGACGATTCAGTACGCTCAAAAGACACTCAAAAAACTACTCATGCTACATCTGCTGGTGGAGAGGCTTCCCCACAACAGGATCCTGGACTTGAAAATATAGAAGTGCGAGGGTCTGGACATAGCTAGAAACTTCCTGATAACCCCTGGCAAATCACATTGAGCTCCATGGAAGAAAGGTAACATCTAAACAAGTCAATAAAATCAACGAGAAGGCCATATCTTCTCCTGAATTAGCTGGAATTGCTTATAGTTTTTTCGGTGGAGTGCAGGTTTGGTGGCAAGATGGTTTTGTGGATGGGTAATGAATGAAGGGACGTGGTGGCGCTGTGGGCTAAACCGCAGAAGCCTGTGCTGCAGGGTCAGAAGACCAGCAGTCATAAGATTGAATCCACGCAATGGAGTGAGTGCCCGTTGCTTGTCCCAGCTCCCGCCAACCTAGCGGTTCGAAAGCATGCAAATGCAAGTAGATCAATTTGGACCACCTCGGTGGGAAGGTAACAGTGTTCCGTGTCTAAGTCGCACTGGCCATGTGACCACGAAAGATTGTCTTCGGACAAAACGCTGGCTCTATGGCGTGGAAACGGGGATGAGCGCCGCCCCCTAGAGTCGAACACGACTGGACAAAAATTGTCAAGGTGAACCTTTACCTTTACCTAATGTATGAAAATGTCTCATTTGAAAAACATGTTCCCCGCTTGGGCTCCAGAAAAGCCAACATTAATTGGACAGCCCAACCATGTTCTCTTACTGAATCATACCAGCCGGACACGGCTTGTTGCTGTCCTGTGATGGAAGAGAGCACAGATCAGCCCAGTTTCACAGATAGAACTGGTGCCATTCAGTACCCAAGCAGCAGTTATTTTGCTAGAGCCGGAACTTCTCCAAAGCGATCCAGTTTGGGGTACAGTATTTGTGAATTAAGTGAGCCAGACGTGAAATATTGGAAAGAAACAAGGGGAAACAGCCCAAAGAAGTGAACAACGAGGAAAAGAAGTAAAGGATTTGACCTGGCAACTTGCTTTAGGCCCTGATAGGCCAAGCCGAGTTCTCCATCTTCATTCAGATACCCCCAGTCCTCAGTCTTGCTAGAAAGAAGGGACAGAGGAAAGGGAAACAAAGGTGGACAGAAAGAAAAGACAAAAGAAGAGTCAGCCGCAAGAGATAGCAAGAATAGGAAAGCCTCTGTTGCATTCAGGTAGACGGGCACACAAGTCTTGTCCTTGTTACACCAGACGAGAAGCAACAGCACATATTTAAGGATAGTGTCTTAGTGCTAGTGGCCTTAGCCAGCTTCAGGAAATGGTGCCAGCAACGGGAAGGAGGCTGAACTTACTGAGCAAAACTTCTGACCTGTTGAATGAATAAAGTTTTCTGCTAAAAATCAGATTTTTTTTCAAAGACTTTATACAAAAGGATTAGGTAACTTATAGTTGTTGTAGGTTTTTGTTATTAGGTATTTGTTATTAGGTACAGTAGGACCCTCCCCCCAATGGATGCTGCATTATAGTGAATGCTAGCCATAGTATGGACTCGGTCTCCCTCTAGTGGCCAGTTCTGGTGACTTCATCTTTAGAAATATGTATTTCTAGGATTTTTCTTTTCATATTTTTAATATTTTCAGACCATGGATAAGTGAGTCAGCCAATAATGATCCTGTGGATATGGGGTGCTACTGCATTAAGTATTCTTTGTCACAGTTTTAAGGGATGAAGATTTTAATCTGCGCTGATGCACACAGATTTAATGTCTATGGTTTGCTTATTGTGATATACTAATCTGCCAGAGTCATTTTTCTCTCAACTATCCAGATAAATGACCCAGAGTTTGATTTAGGGAGTAGGCTTCCTTTTGGGATGCCGTGAGCTCCATGTTCCCTTCCTATCGCTTGCAGTCTGCGAGGCACTCTTTGACCTGGCATTGAGGCTCAGTCTCCCACTCTTGCCAGGAGTGGCTTGAGCGGGCTCTGGAGCGGTAGGAAGGAAACCCGGGGCCCAGCTTGAGCGGGCTCTGGAGCGGTAGGAAGGGAACCCGGAGCCCGCAGCAACAGCAGAAGATGAGTGGACAGTATGGCCCCAGGGGACTGGACCTTCGTTATGTCCACCTGTGCAGGGGTATTCATATTCATATAAGAATACGAATACCTCCATCTCTAGTCCTTAATCTTTGATATAGTTCCCACTTGCTCCTTTGAGGGTCATACCTGACATTAACCATGCAGTTTGCCCTTAGATGCAATCATTTTTGTTCATATTTTGAACTACTGTATTTTTCCGTGTATAAGATGCCTCCATGTATAAGACACTCCCCCTTTTCTAACACAAAATTAAGAAATCTAAGTGAGGCTTAGCAAGTGGAGGGGAAACGCAGGGATCAAAGCGCTTTATAAATTTTTGACTTGCACTTCCAAATTGGGGAGGGGCAGTTAAAGCTTACGTCTCCTAATTTGAAGGCATCTGTGCTTTGACATCAGGCTGCTGCTTAAGCGCAGACCAAATACAGAGATTCATTCATACGGATGTATCAAGAAGGGAACACTTTTATCTCATTAGGCTGCAGGAACAGAAAAGGGTACTTCATGGCCCCATTCAAAATTAGCTCAAAGGACCAAAGCCCTTTCTATATCAGCTTGTAAGGTGTTCACAAATATCATTATGAAAGCCAACCCAGATGGAGAGGGGTTCTCAAGGGTTTCCTAAACAGACCTGCATGCAGTTAAATTGGGCAGTTGTGAAGAACCATAGCGTTAAAGAGAGGAGAGGGCAAGACAGATTCCTTTTCTCATTATGTCTTTTAAGACAGTGCTACCATATCCTCATAGGTGGAGGTTGATGAAGGAGCATTTAGTGCTCAAACGGGGAAATCACTTACTTTTTAAAAAGATGTTTTGGAGTTAAACTGAAGTTTACACAGAAAGAGTTTTGGAAGTTGTGGCCCCAAAGAAATGAAGGACCAAAGATCTGGCCACTATATTTATTAAAGGTTGAAAAGGTGAGGGGGACTCTGGGGGATTGTTTACACAGAGACCAACAAAGCAAATGTAAAGTAAAGTGTGTGGCTTGTATACCCGCCCATAGCGTTTTAAAGTACTCTCTGGGCGGTTGACAATTAATTATGCAGGCTACACATCCCTGTCCCCACCAGCAAGCTGGGTACTTTACCGACCTTGGAAGGATGGAAGGCTGAGTGAACCTCAATCCAGCTACTGAAATTTGAACCTGGATTGTGAGCAGAGTGTTGGCTGCATCCCTACAGCTTAACCACTGCGCCACAAGGCCCCTCCTAACAACCACTGTGTGAATGGCTACCTGGCCTGCTTGCAACCACCTTATTAATATTCCACTGTATCTATATCTAGCTGCTCCCTCCTTCTTCTCTATTCTCTTTACTTCGTGTTTTTACCGGATAAACGGATGGAAGGATATTCATGAGAGTAATATAAATGTCTTGTCTTTAATGTTATTGTAAGAGGACGGCACAAGTTCAGGACTTAAATTCTCACTGGGGGGAAAACCTGTAATCAAAGAGGAATTGTACTGAGAGTTAAGATACAAATTTAGAGCTAATGTTGGTGATGGGATGCCAACAAGGCAAGATGTGTATTTATTCACTCATTTCTCTGTCCCAAGACTGGTGGTTTGTCAGGACTTTTCACAACACAGAAACCATTTTTTCAGCCTCCAGTAAAACAGGCTGACAGCCGTTCCAGCAAACATTTATCTCATGCAGAGCACATGGATGATCTCTTTGATGTAAGTGACTTTTGCAACTTTCTTGCCCCAGAAATCAGGTTTCCCTGTGGCTTTGATACCAGAGCTGTTACAGAATTCTTATAATATTATGGACTAAGCTAAAGAACTTCCAAATCATGATGCTACATTAAATGGCATTTTTCTCAAGAGCTTGGAAAAGTTGCTTTTTAGAACCACTGTTCTAGAATTCTACGGTGGCCAGGGGACTGAAGGCACTGCAGTTTAAAAAACCTGAATGTTTCCCAAGTTCTGTCTTTTAACACCAAACCTAGCTGGCCACCGTCCTCCCATTTCCCCTCCCTCCTCTTCTTTTCCTCCATTCACTGGGTTTAAATGATTAGTCAGTGCCATGTTTTTTTTGAGGGGGGTGTTGGGTTATTGCTGCTGCTTTTAATGTTTCTTTTTTATATTTTTGTTTTTTATTACATGTGTTGTAACCTGCCCAGAGAAGTGCCTCGAAACTAATGGGAATGGGATACAAATTGAATGAATGAATGAATGAATGAATGAATGATATGTATATATTCAAATGGACCCAGAGTCTTTAAAGAACCCATTAAAAAGTTAATAGCCTTTTTGAACTTTTGCAGCCCTGATTGGAATGTTTTGGAGATGTGCTCCATCACCTGGGAGGTCTAGGAATTTATTTTTAAAGGGGGAAAAGGAAGCCAAGAGCTAAATCCAGTTGTCAGTACCAACTAGAGTAGCTCTTACTTGGCCTTTCCACCGGAGAAGAGCCAGTCTGGCTTTATTGATAGAGCGTTGGGCTCAGACTCTGGGAACCTGGATTCAAATCTTCTCTCAGCCACAGAAATTTGCTGGTGAGGGGCAACAGTAAACTATTCCTTGCACATTTAATGTACCTTGAAAGTCCTAGGATCACCATACGTTTGAAGTGATTTGCAATAACAACAAAGCAGATGCAGTAAACCACTGGAATGTTTGCAAGAATTAGCTTAACAAGTTCCATTGTTTCAACTGATCTCCTTTAGTTGGGATTAACAATTGGAATTTACCAAGATTCTAATACCATGCCTCCCTCAATATCAGATTCTGAATTTCCATAAGCCCACAACCAAGAACAGTTTTGCATGGAACAGTTTCCTGTGTAAAAACACCTCTCAATGTTGGCTGCCTGCATTATGATGATGTGCCCGGTGATTACTCATGGCTTAACCCCATAACAGAGGTCCTGAATGCAATTCATTTGATTACTCATAAAGAACAGACAAAGGCAGGCTTACCGATTTGTCTCACATACTCCATGATAAGCCTCTATTGCATCTTCTGGATCCACATGCTTGTCACTGTTGGGCCAGCTGGTTTGCATGTTGATGCTCGACTCCTTAAAAAAAGGTCAACCATGAAATGGTTTGTCCCATAAATTATTTCTATTTTTTTCCAGTGCTCTAGTAGCTCTGTAGTGATCACTCATGCATCACTTCTGATTTGCAAAAAGGATTACAAGCACAATTACATTTGCCACAAGGTAAATTCAATATCAGAAAACAGAGAGAAAGAGAACAAGGAAGGCCCAGAGGGTTGCACAAGACACGAAAGGCTAAATGCAGAGCAAAATGGGACCGTAAGCTAGCATGGCTCTACCCCCACTGTACCCTGGCAGCTTCCAGGTTAGACCTGAGTCTTTGGGCAGAAAAAGAGCAAGGATCAAGCCTTTTCCCAAGTTACCTCTAGCCAGCAGTTGGACTTTCTGCCTATGTCATCCAAGCCTTCTCATCTGCCTGCCAAGCACCAAATTTGCTACTCCCCCAATGCTCGTTCCAGTCCTCTTCCATTAAGACCAGAACCAGATGATGATTCTTCAAAGAAGGAAGAATCCATTGTAGGTTATACCAAACCATAGGAAACAAGGACATCTTGCAAGGAAAAGCACCCATCCAGGGAATCTGCAAACCTAGGCAGATACGGGTAGAGTGGATTCACCCTCTGGCTCCAGAAACCCAAGATCATCCTAAAATTTCAATAGGGCAAAGGGATGAGCCCAAGCTAGGATTAACATGCCTAAGGAACTACTTAAGAAAAAGAACCATATACATGATCAGCATCAGTAACTCTACTAGTCCAATAGAAAGGCTGGAGACAACCAGACTGATGACAAAAACTTTCTTGTCTGGAAGTTGCTGGTGCAACCACCACAGGGGCTTAGCACTTCAATTCTAGCTCTAGCAACTTAATGGACCACTCCTTCATGTTCCACACTTGCACCTCTAACTCTTCACAATCCAGTTGTTAATGCATCTCATTGGCTTGCCATTATTTTGGCTGAGTAGTTACCTCTGTTCTTTGGAAAGATGAAAATGCTGCAGTAGAAACTCCTACACAACATCTTTATCCCAGCCCTACTCCATATTCTAGTGGCACTCACAACTTCTTGTCTACATAATATTCTAGTGTCTGTAGCCGTATGCTAACATCCTTCATTACTTATCTTTCAAAGAATGAAATTCAAACCCTAACCTCCTTGTTATACATGATCAGACTTGTCACTTCTTTATCTCCTAAACCTGAAATTTACAAGTCAACATGTCCAACTCGACTGATATTTTTGGATTAAATAATCTAACAATGTCATAATTTGCAATGATTATGTGCACTGTGAATATTAATTAATATGAATGTGCAGAATTTTACTTTCTCTGATTACAGATCTAAAACATGGAGCCATGTAATCTTCCTTACCCTTTGCAAAGACTTCAAAGGGATTGTTATTCAAAACAACCCTCTTGATTCTGGACTTGCTTAAAGCCAAGCGTGGGCAACCTATGACCCAGAGCACAACCACATGCGCCCCTCAGCTCAATTTCAAAAGCCTCCTGTGAGCAATCAGATTTAGACATTGGCAGGAGCCATCTATAAACCAAAGTGGCCCACCACAGACAAACAGCAACAGTTGGCAACAAACAAAAACAAGCAAACAAACAAACAAGACACACACATACATTTTATTCTCTTCCATTACCATATTTTTGCCTGCATCTTTTTGCTGGGCTGCCTTTATAATCTGTGTCCTTAGAATAAGCACCTCTTCCTTCCGTACTTCCAGCTCTTCATTAGCTGACTTGAGCTGATTGAGGAGGAGGCTGTAACTGTCATGGACGTCATTGGAGGAGTTGTTGTGCGCCACCCGGTCCACTATAGCCTTCCTCAGCTCGTTAAGGTCATTTTTCAGTTTCTTGTTCTCAGATTCTAACTCTTGCCTCTATTAAAAACGATATTTGAAAAGTGATCCCAGCTCAGCACATTTCTATTAACTGATGCTGTTGATTTTTTAAAAAAAAATCCTTTCAATTCTAAGCTTTAGTACAACTAAAAAACACAACAAAACAAAAAAACAAAAAATAGAATGATCAAGTAGAGTCAGAGAGTTTGACTGTGGATCCAGACAGATAAGTGTATTACTTTCAAGCTAACTTTTTAGTAATTGTCAAACTATTGCAACCTACACGAAAGGCAAGCGTTGGGAACCTGCAAACTTTCTTTAAATGTGAGAGGGTAAATGGATCGGCAAGAGAGATGCCTTTGAATAGTTCCATCTTTAGAACAGATAAACGAGACAGTTTCCCCTCTGTGCTGAACACTATAAACCATCAGTGTTTGGGGGGGATAGATTGCTTTCGTTAGCATGACATGTAAAAGGATCACTTCAACAAGTGCCCTTAAATATATAACACATGGAATTCAATTTTTAATATTGTCATAAACCTGCCTCTAATTTTTGCTCCTCATCTTCTAAGACAGTGGTGTGATGGAATTCAATTTTTAATATTGTCATAAACCTGCCTCTAATTTTTGCTCCTCATCTTCTAAGATATATATATTTCACTGAAATCTATTGTTTTGACCTGTGAGATAAGGGAGCACCTTCTGCGCTCATCTTAGTGGGCTCCCTTGTTGTGTGCTTCTTATGAAGAGAACGGCTGTCTTATTAAGGGAGTTGACTGTTTCCAAAGGAGACTGCTTGGCAATGACTTAATAAGACCAAGAAGCTTCCTTTTCTATACCAACTCCTCCAGCTTGTCTAAAAAAAATTTTTTTTCCCCTGTTGACTCACATGAAAGATTTATCAGAAAGTTCCCAACAACTCACACATTAATCATGAGTCTAGCATTTAAGGATATAAAAAAGGCATGCCAAACTAAAGCAGTTGGGGAAAAAAACTGGTAAAAAGAGGAAAGAACAAGTTCCATTTATGTCAACTCTCCATGGAGGATTTTGCTCAGAGACTAGAAAAAATAGTAGAATATGACTTAAGGAAATCTACTGTGTTGCCAAAGGGTGAGTGTTTAAAAAACAGATTACTATACTGTATATCTTGTCTTGCCTCCCAAAATTAATCTTGATGAGTCTATACAACAATGACTGGAGTCTAGCCTACACCGCTCTCTGCTCAACCTAGCAAAATTTTGACTGTGCTCTCGGGCATTTGTTCCAAGTGTTATACAAATAAGCACTGCATAAGCAACCAACAAAAATGGATTGCAGGTGACAGTAGAGAGCTGTACTTAATCAGTGGAAGATAGGAAAAGTATATTTCATTAAAAAAAAAAAATAGCAGGCAGAGCTGCTACCACTTTCCCTAGAGTTCCACTTCTGAGAACAGGTGGGAATCAGTGTAATTGAAAGCCACTCCATGACCTTTTTTAAAAAAAACAACCCTCATGACATTTTATGCACATAAAAAACTGGACACCAAAGGGAAACGTTCTCACATACCCTTCTCTTTCATATCTTCATCTTGTATGGATAACAAGTTTTCATTTAAGAATGAAACATTCAACTTGGCAACTCCTCACCAGTAATCTAAAGCAGTTCAGGAACTGTTGATGTATTTATTATTTTAAAAAATAAGAATTATTTCTCGCAGACTAGACCAAAACCTCATGATATTTGGTTTTCTGCTTCATAATCTGATGCCTCCCAGAAGCCTGAAAACAGAGCTTAAGGACAACATCCATCTTCTGGAACACCATTTTCTGGGCGAATCCTTGTAAATGTGAAAGCTTTCATAGCTAAGAGCCATTAACAGATCCTGGACTTGTCAAATCTTGTCCCCCCCCCTTTCAGATCGAATCCAATGGCCATCCTTATATCTCATGGCAGTGCATTCCATATCTTAAATTATGCATGGAGCGGAGAAGTAGTCTCACACTTAAAACTTTACTCCACTTCCTGCCCGATCAGGGCCCCTTCCCTAAAACAGATAACACAGGTTCGTAAATCACATCCAGCAGAATACTGCGATTCAGGGGGTGCAGGAGTGCACGCTAATCTTATCATAGCCAAAAGTGGAGAGTTGAAGCTCAAGAACACTTTATGCCTACCCTGGCACGGTGTTAAAACAGACTAGATGAAACAGCGTCATTAAAAAAATAACCAGACAGCAACCAGATTAACTAAAGCAAAGCACATAAAATGGGGGTGGGGGAGAGCCAGCCTGCCTAGTTGGGCTCAGCTAAGTGACCCCTGGAAAGAAGACCTTCTATCCAAGACCTCAATTGCTTAAAAATTACTTTTTTGGATTACCCTTCCCTCTAATTTTCCAGTCGGCACAGCTGGCGAGAGGACTGTGGGAGCTCTATCAGGCCTGAGCAAGAGAGAGGTGGGTTCTGCAGCCCCCAATATGTTTACCAGTGCACCGGAGTCCAAGAACAGCAGGATTATAATTGAGAGGGCAAAAAAGCACGCCCTGCAGCAAGGTGGGAAACCTGGGCCAGCAAATAAAATGCCTAAATTCCTTAACTCAGGGGATTAAGAAGTGGAATAGAACAAAGAATTAATTAAGCCCCAGAGCGAGAAAGAGAAAGCTGAATATTTGTGCCGTAACTGAGGAAAAGGGTATATTTACATTTATAAGTGTATCTGTATCTATGAGAGAGAGAGAGAGAAAGAGAGAAACAGAGAGACTCTTTGCAACCCTAAGTTATGGGAGAAATTATTCAGCTTTCTCTCCCACTATATAAAAGAGAGAAAGAGAGCTGGAGGGAGGTCTGCTCCTGTCACGTAGATCTGCAGAGACGGATATCAGCAAAAGCCCATGCACCTGACACGTACAAATACATCCCCTAGCCTAGAAGCTTATTTTACCTTCAGACTGTTGTACGCGAGATCTGTATCGCGGTCCAAATCCATTTCGTTCTTCATTTCAATTACCTGGATGGATTAAGAAGACAGAAAGAGAACGATTCAATTTGACAACAGGGTACCGAGGCCAGTTTTCTGATGGCTGCTTGGGATCACCTTACCGAATCTGTCGCTCGCTGGCCGTGATTGGCCTTGAAAGGATCCAAGGATGTTTGGGAAATGTCAAATCAAGGAAGAGGAAGATAAACAATGGAATGGCACAGGGGTCCTTCAGCATCTTGTCTTTCCCTCAGCATCTTTAGTAGGCAAATCACTGCACGGCTCTACCTGCTCCTTCCTCTTGGGAGTCTAACTGGTTCCTGTCACCTTCAGTGGTGCGTTTGGTGGGTAGATGGAAGAAGGCCTTCTCTGTGGCTGCCCCCAGACTTTGGAACTCCTTCCCACTGGAAGCCAGGCTGGCCTCATCTTTACTGTCCTTCCACAGGAAGGCAAAGATCATTCTCTTCGGGCAGTGACTGGATGCCGGAGTGAGGTTTTTTAAATGTTGTGCCTTACTGCTTTGAATGTGTTTTGGTGTTGCTTATGTTTTTTTCAGTATGATATTTATTCAATAATTTTTAGTATTTGTATACTCACTGTTGTTAGCTTAAAATTGTCTTTTAATGATGTAAGCTGCCTTGGATCCTTTTAAGGAGAAAGGAGGAGGGGGACATCTTAAATAAATAAATACAGTGGTGCCTCGCTTAACGATTACCTTGTTAAACGACGAATCTGCTTTACGATGGTTTTTCTTGCTTCTAACGATTACCTTGTTAGCTTCGGGAACCGATTCTTCGCATTACGATGATTTCCAAACAACTGATTGGCGGGTCGCAAAATGGCTCCCCGCTGTGCAAAATGGTTCCCTGCTGTTTTTAGGATGGATTCCTCGCTTAAAAGGCACCGGAAAATGGCCGCCCTATGGAGGATCTTCGCTGCACAATGAGGTATTTCGCCCATTGGAACGCATTGAACGGTTTTCAATGGGTTTCAATGGGTTTTTTAATTTTGCTTGACGACGATTTCGCTTAACAGCGATTTGAATGGAACGGATTATCGTCATCAAGCGAGGCACCACTGTAAATATATTGTTTCTTTTCACTATTTTGAGATAGCTGGCAAACTGTCATGCTTCCTCAACCCTTTAATGGCTTCCTGTGATGTCTGCCTTTTCTTAATTGTCTGATTGGTAGTTTTTATTATTAGGGTTTCTTAACTATTGGATTATTTTCACATCTGCTACTTTATTCCTGTATTTATTGTCTGTGTTTTTACATTTTACAGAAGTTTTAGTTATTTTATTATAAACTGGGATGCAAGGCATGCCACAGATTGTCACAGCCCTGCTATACAAATCTTCCAATTAAGAATCAGTCAGAACCCAAACACGACAAGAAAAAGAAAACTGCCCAATCTTGCATTCCTGGGGGGCTGAGATCTTGAAAATCTGGGGCCCCCAGAGGCTGAGCAACAGAAGACTGTTCAGTCCTCTGAAAGACGCCTTCTTGACAGGAGAGGATCGCCTTGAGAGAATGGTGTTCCTCTCAGGGAGACCAGTGGGCCAAAGCCAGGGACTAAATTCCTTTCCTAGCTGGCCAAATCTCTCCAACTGAGCTCTGGCTGTGGCTTCAACTGCTCAGCTGTAACCTTAAACTGGGACTGGGAGTTTTGTTGGAAACAGTGACCAAAATCCTCTTGTGTAAAGTTACACCCACAGCGAAACGTGACAACCTTTTGCATCTCTTCCAACTCTTACCATTCTATGAAGTATTGAAAGAACAGTGTATATGAGAACTAGCTTGGTATAGAGAGTGAAGAGTCTCAGAGCAAGGACAGGAAATACCATTCTATGAAGTATTGAAAGAACAGTATATGAGAACTAGCTTGGTATAGAATGAAGAGTCTCAGAGCAAGGACAGAAAAAAATCAAATTAACATTGCCCTAATCCAGGATAGGATAAGCTATGGTCCTCCACAAGTTGCTTAACTGCAGTTCTCATGACCTTTTGGTAATGACTAGGTTGACTAGCTCTGATGAAGTCCAGCAACTTTGTACAGGTCACAAGTTGTCCAATTTTGGCAAACCACAAAGCTCATTGAATGACTCTGGGGCAACCTCAGACTACTCTACCCCTGTTCTATGGAGGCTGTTGAAATCCAACGCCTGACATAACTCATAGCATGACTGTTGCGGACTTGGAATCCAACAGCATCAAGAGAGTCGCCTGTGGTCTAGCTAACATCCTGCATTAAAGTACATGGAAGAAACATTCTACTTTCTTTTTCTTTTTAAACCTACTATGTTTGCTTTTTCAAAAATTAATAAAAAATGAATTGCAAAGAGAAGTGGAAGTGTTATTCTACAAGGACTCTGGGGGAGATGAGCATTCTTTTAAATAAATGATTCTCCTTTCTGTCCCAGAAAATTCCCAAACAAACAAAAGTTGTTCTTTCTCGAGACAAGCAGAATAGACATAAAAAGGACACTTCCTATAACTTAGAAAGTCTTCACCACCACCAAAGGAGAAACTGACAAATGGGTGGATGACCATACCTAAAAGGCAAGTGCTTTGCCATGCCCAGAAAGCAATGGAACAGCAACCCTTATCCAACCTGTTTTTTCCAGTTGAGACAACTATTTTGAGTGGGGGAAAAACCCTGTTCTCCCAGGTTCCATGTAGAAGCTACAATCCTTTGAGAGCTCTCAATATTTACATCCCCAAAGATGATCTGTAGGAATTTAGTATTTTACAGGCTACTACTGTAGGCTGGACCTAGTAGCCTTGAACATAAGAAGCTATCAAAGGTTTGGAAAATTACTTTTTGGACTAGACTAGAGCTTCCGGAATTCCACAATCTGTGTGAACAGTGAGGATTCTGGGAGTTACAACCCCACAAGAAGTAATTTTACTAAGCTTTAAAGCTGTCTTGTGCCACGTCAGATCCTTACTCCACCAAGCCCAATACGTTCTGCTCTGATTGGTACTGGATCTCTCCTAGAGAATCCCTTTTCAGCCTTGTTCCTTGAGATTCTCTCATTGTCGGCAATTGAACCTGTCTGCATGAAAATCATTTGTCCCTTCTCCTGACCTATGGCCCTCACAAGCAGGTGCAGGAACAGAGCAGCAAGAAATGGACAACAGACTGGCTCTGTTGTCAATCTCAGCCATTCCCTTTTGAGGGAACTGTGTCAGTAGCAGAGCAGCCCAAGATTTCTAATAGCTGCTACTCCTTGTGCCATTTTTAATTGCCCGTGGGCATGCTGCTGTGATCTTCCTTAGAACTTAGAAAAATAGAATAAAACACAGATCTAATTATTTCTTTTAAGCAAGTTAATAAGCTTAAAAAACTTGTATTCCTTCCTTCCTTCCTTCCTTCCTTCCTTCCATCCTTCCATCCATCCATCCATCCATCCATCCATCCATCCATCCATCCATCCATCCATCCATCCATCCATCCATCCATCCATCCATCCTTGGTAGATCAGTTCCAAAGCTGCTGATAAGCAGGCCTTCTGTGTACAAAACATACACTGAGCTCAAAGAACTTATCTAAGACTTTTCCCCAGTTTATCCCAGTTGCTGGCCATCACAGCAAGGGATTCTGAGAGTTGTAGTCTGAAAAAGTAACATCTCCCAAAGTTCAGGAGACATCACGTCTCATGCCTTCGAAGTCCAGTGCTTGAGCTGGGTGAGAAACCATTCTGAGAGGCATCATTCTTCTCTATTTGACACATTCTCTACCTGCCAGAAAACCTGGGACTTTTATTTTATTTTATTTTGCAGAAAGAAGCATTTTGGAAACATGCTAGAAGAAAATTCAGTTGGATCCAGTACTTAGCTCAGGACATTTAAGCCCGTGCTGCCTCCAGACTCAAATGATCAAGGTTACATTGAACACTGGAGTCGTCAGGCCCATTAACCCCGACCTAACCCTAACCCTAACCTCTACTGTGAGATAAATTGTTCCAACACTGATTACGGTATACATTCTGAAGACGGCAGTAATTCTGCAAATGGATATTCTGATTCTGCGGTGATTTTGTAAACTACAGGATAACACAGATATTTCTTTAAAAATCTGGCATAATTAGGGTCTCTACATCTCAGAATACTTGGAAAGCAAGTGGACACAATGGGGATCAAGAAGCGATTTGTTTGAATCAGAAGGTTGTGTTTATCAGAGAAAAGAAAAGCTAACTTCTCAGGCTACAGCTTCCGGCCAGTAGGATTACTGACTAAGGATTCTGGAATTATACCCCCCAAATAGTTATATTCCTCTTCCCTGAAGTTTACAAAGTATTTCTGAACAAGGTCACGTGGAAACCTTAGGAACACCATGCTGCAAGATTCATCTAACTATGTAGGCTGTACAGATTCTTATTTGGCATGAAAGGTATCATTGCAAAAGCCTACTAAGAGGTAGTGATAACATGGTGATAACACAGCACTGTGTTTTTTATTTTTAGAAAATAAAAAACATAATCAAATACACTAAGGACCCTGGCACTTCCCAAAGTCCAACTTTCATATCCAAGATACACAACCTGGAGCTCTAGAGCAGAAATGGGTCACATAAAATCCTTAGCAGTCCCCAGCACCATCTATGTTATTTTTTTTAAAGTTTAGCTCAGAAATTCTGCTTGTGTCAACTAACTGTGCCACGTTTTGAGGGTCCTCATTTCCTCTGGGTCCCTAAATATATATATACGTATTTTAATGTTGAACACTAGAGGGAGCAGTGGCATCTTTTTGGTTAAAAAACGAATTTTAAATAATTTCTTTCTGGCGTGAGCAGTTAAGTCCGTTGACCTCTGGAAGTTGCCCATGCCTCCCTCACAGACCCATGTCACTTTAGATCAAATTCTACATGACCCTTGGCCTAACTATAAAAGCCCCATTGCAGCAATATCCTCTAAACTTTGGCTAGAAAACTCTGTCCCACTTTGTGCAGCTTGCTGGTTAGGGAAATGAGGAGAAATAGTGATGGGGGTGGCAGAAAGTAAGATGAAAAGAGATGGCCATGTATTCTTTTTACTATGGCACTACCTGCCATTAGTTTAAGCTTTGCCAAAAATACCATACAGCCTCCTCCAAGTTTCATTATTTTAAAAACAATAATAATAAATGTTTTATTACGGTCTTTGACCAGCAAAATTGTTTTTTAATATTTGGGTAAGATCTTAACATGCAGCAGGGCACATTTAATGCAACGCCTGATTCCGTTCTCAAACCTATAGCACTTGCTTTAAAAAAGTTCATGGGCTTACCAATTATAGATTTGGAATCAACATTGTTAACAGTACTGGGTCACTCGGTACCTGAGATTTTTTGCTTTCATTTTCTTTTTTCTCCAGCTGACTCTGCAGTTTCTTTCTCTCCTGTTCCAGTTCCCGGACTCTCTTTTGAAGCTTTAGGAAGAGTGTCATGTCCATGGCTGCTTTCTCTAAGCCAACTTCCTGTGGTGGAAAAAGAAAAGAAAAGAAAAAAGAAAAAAAAAAGGAAAGAGACATCTTAAAACGCTGGGAAAGGCATTTAAGTTTCAAACTAATACATTTCTCAAAAACATTTCTATAGAAAAAAATAACATGGAAAGTTACTTAACAGTCTAGGAGTACAAAACATCAGAAGTATGAACAACAATTTTGTAAAACACATCATAATTCATACATCAGAATGATTCCATAACAGGGATCACCACCTTTCCCTTCCTACCTGTTACTCTTTTCCTTACTTTCAAGTGACAAATGCTGGAATCCTCTCATCTCTGATCACATATATTTTTAAACTACCAGGTTTCCTCAAAAATAAAACAGGGTCTTATATTAATTTTTGCTCCAAAAAACGCATTAGGCCTTTATTTTCAGGGAATGTTTTGTTTTTTTCATGTACAACAATCTACAGTTGTTCAGATGCAGTCATGTCATCTTCTGGTTGCTGCACAAGAGTGGAGGGCGGGGTTTCACTAAACTGGGGCTTATTTTTCCGGAAAGGTTTATATTACGAAAAATCCTGAAAAATCATCCTAGGCCTTATTTTCAGGTTAGGTCTTATTTTCGGGTATTAGCATGATCAACTTTCAAAGTTCACTTTCAGACTTGTCAATGGGCCTTCCCACATGATCTGAAGCTTACTGTGTTTGACAGGATTAAGGACTACCATCCAATCTCCCACATTAAAATCCCAGTGCTTTGCTTTTGCATGCCCCTCCTCCTAAAAGCCAGAACATCAAACCCCAACCACCTATATTACTGAGACACTATCTCCAGATATGCCCCAATTTTCATTAGAATATATCACAACTAACTGCATGGGGAAAACCTGTTCAAATTGCTCTGTCTTGAAAAAGTAGAAGCCCCTCACAGCAGAAAGGAAAGAAAAACTGCTTTGGGATGGACCAGTCTTTGTATGATCTGCCAGTAAAAATACAGTGGTGCCTCGCATTATGAAACCGCATTATGATGATCTTTTTGCGATTGCGATCGCAAAATGATGGTCTAAATTGGGTTTTTTCGCTTTGCGATGATTGGTTCCCTGCTTTGGGAACCGATTCTTAGCAAAACGTCAATTTTAAAACAGCTGATCAGCGGTTTCAAAATGGCCGCCGTGTAAACAAAATGGCTCCCCGCTGTTTTCTGGGACGGATTCCTCACAAGACAGGCAGTGAAAACGGCTGCCTTATGGAGGCTCTTCGTTGGACAGTGAGTTTTGACCCCACTGGAATGCATTGAAGGGGTTTCAGTGTGTTTCAATAGGCTTTTCCCCCTGCTTTACAATGTTTTCGCTTAACGGCGATTTTCCTGGAACTGATTATCGCCATTAAGCGAGGCACCACTGTACTTCAAGTCCATCTGTTTCATATGTGGAGCAATTCCTACAGTATTTGATCATGTAACTGCACTCCTAGTATTTCAGAAAGCCATCCCCATCTTTCTTGCTACCAAGGTTAGCTAACTACCAATCCTGAACTCATCTTTAAAAGATGGGGAAACTCCAGCACTGAGAAACAAACTGACTAGAAGTCTAAAAAAAATTAGTAAGAGAGGAAGAGTAAGACAAGGATAGCTCAGTGAGTCAAGTTTCTGGCTAGGGAGCCTGTGTGGCCTTGGGCCAGTCCCCACTGTGCCTCTTGTGAAGTAGAGTCAACCTGTGTGGCCTTGGGCCAACTGTGTGCATGGTGGTGGTGGGACACAATTAATTGTGTAGCCTGCACAATTAAATTATAGACCGTCCAGAGAGTGCTTTAAGCACTATAAGGCGGTATATAAGCAGCTTCGCTTTGCTTCGCTTTTTTTGTTTTTAATGTCATTTTAAAAAGTTGATTCTACAGTACTAAAAGCACACTGAAGCTGGAAAACTTACTCTTTCTGAAAACAAACCTCAATGAAAATGAATGAATGTATGTTTAAAAAAGACCTCTCATTAGACAATTTTGAAAAGGAAGCATGCTATATAATGTATTATTAAGTGCCTACTTTATTTTTAATCACAATTACCTAATGCTCTCTGTGTACAGCCCTGTTTACCCACATTGTGTATTTAACAATTAATCCTCACTAATTGGCTAATTAAAATATATAAATGGCATGACTTGCAAAGTGCAAGTTCTGAGGTTTTGACATTTGCTGCTTCAAATAAATTATCATTATTGGTTTTTCAGCAGCATAAGGAAAACAGTAATAGCCAAACATTTACCCTTGTGTCTCTCAGAAATCTATTTCATTCAGAATACTTCCAGAGTGAGCCATGACATTAAAGGAGGATGGCTGACTGTGCAGAGCCCTATCAACGCCCATACGCCAAACTGAATGTCATTTCCATACCTCCACCTGCTGTATTGCATCTTCTGTATCTCCAACCTCTGACGTAGAAATAGATGGATAATTGGAATCAGATTCTAGGCTGCTCTGGTTAGATGGGTTTCTTCTGTGTCCTGGGGTTTGCTGTCCAAAAAAAGAGAGACCCCCATTTGTTACTTAGCACTGAGAAAGACCAAAAACCCATTGTTAAGGTAATGCGGAACTGGATATCCCCCCCCCGATAATTCCGCATGCACCAAAAAACATTGGTTTTACGAGTAGACCCTTGGTATATGGGTGGGATAGAAATCAAATAAATAAATAAATAAATAAATAAATAAATAAATAAATAAATAAATAAAACAAACAAACAAACAAATAGTGGTGAAGGTGGAGTTTCTGCCCTCTTCTCCTCCCTCATGTCCCCTGCCCAATAAAATATTTCTGTCTTTAGAGGATTTGTTGCGAGGGTGAGAGTGGAGAATATATTTCTATTCCTGCAGGTCCTCAAGGAATGCAAGTCAGCCTGAAAACAAAACACACAGCCCTATTCTTCTATATTCTTCTCTCTATATAAGACGACAACATAATATATATATATATAGAGAGAGAGAGAGAGAGCGAGAGAAATAATTATCTTCAAACAAGGACACGCATAAACAGCATTAATCAAACAGCAAAAGCACCTAACAGCAAGAAGAATTATTTGCAAATGTGCTGTACTGTAAATGCTGTGGTAAACATTTATAAAATACATTCTCTGAGAAAGGATTAAAGTTGACAAGAGTATGATTTACTAATACTTCAACAGAGTATAGAGTTAAAAATAGTTTCCCATTACCTTTATGATAGTCATCTCATCCCTCAGATTGTCATATCTCTGTTCTAGCCTCGAATACTCCTTCACAAGGTTCTGATAACGAGCACGCTCTTCGTCTAGCTCCTTCTTCATCAGGAGATTTTCCTCACTTGCATTTTGTGCAAATTCATCTTGTGGGAGAAATGAAGGGAAGGGGGGATTTGACATGGTTTAACTCATGCTATGTGGCTGAAAGGCACTGGGGCAGCCGTTACAGCTCTGTGACATTATAAACACGCTGGTTGAGTTTTTCACTCCCCAGTGGGAACACTGCTAACATCCATGATTAGACCATGTCCATGGAATGGGTTGAAAAAACAGTTTCCAGTGCTCTTAAAATGTTTTGTCGGCCTCCAAGATTACACAAATTGCTCAAAGTTTCTGGCTTTAGTTACCAGTAACACAGTTAGATGTAACAGGAACACTATACACCAAAATTTGATTCCAAAATTCTCCACAAATTTCTAGGATTTCTGTATCCTGTTTTCAAAACCAGTTATAAGTAGTGTGTTTATTTGTATCTTTTATTTTGTTTGTGACAGTGTAATAAAGTCGCATAACAACTAACAGAACAAGTAAGAAGAAAGTAACTTCAGTGAAAATGTGGTATAACGAATAATATTTTCTAATCCGTTAGTTGTTATAAAACCTGCTGTGGTGCAGTGGATAAAGTAACAGACTACGACTCAGGAGATCTGGGTTAAAATCCCTAGTCAGCCATGGAAACTCACTAAGACATGCACAAGTGATAAAACTATTCCTTAAATATTTCACCCTGAAGGTTGACATAACAAAGTTACTTTGTAACTTGATTTTTAAGAGCATCTTGAAGAATTTTAGAGGCATTTTAATTGTATTTTTCAAGATGAATGTTGTTTGTTTACCAGTACTAAGGTGTACTTTTTAAAAATAATAAGAAAGCAATGAACAACATAATAAATGATATGATAAGTTACTTCTAAAATAGCATAACAAGTAATGGCAATGAATTACTTGAGCAATGGGAACTAACAGACTACGACTCAGGAGATCTGGGTTAAAATCCCTAGTCAGCCATGGAAACTCACTAAGACATGCACAAGTGATAAAACTATTCCTTAAATATTTCACCCTGAAGGTTGACATAACAAAGTTACTTTGTAACTTGATTTTTAAGAGCATCTTGAAGAATTTTAGAGGCATTTTAATTGTATTTTTCAAGATGAATGTTGTTTGTTTACCAGTACTAAGGTGTACTTTTTAAAAATAATAAGAAAGCAATGAACAACATAATAAATGATATGATAAGTTACTTCTAAAATAGCATAACAAGTAATGGCAATGAATTACTTGAGCAATGGGAACAAGGAATTTAGAAAATAAATCTCTAAGGCCTAAAATTAGATGCACAACCTCCATCTGCTTTGTATTAAATAAAAACAGCTGCAACCTTTTAATCAATTAAGTGATCAGAATCACCAATTTAAGATATTCTAAACCGAGTAAAAGGTATACTCAATTAATCAGCCAACACACCTTTAAATGTATATTATTGTTATGGTATTAAAGGCATCCTTTCTTCTCTCCCACAACCCTCCTTACACACAACGTCTACATCCAATAAAACTGTTTTTCTTTCAAAATTACTGCATGAGACATATATAGATTCATTCTAGTGATCAATGAAGACTTTTCCAGGCAATCAACACAGATTGCTGTAGTCAAGCAATAATGAAAAAAAAAAGATTGACACAACTATGTGCTTCTACAGTTCAATCCATGAAAAAGGTATTAATCAAGCGCTTGCATTTTTCATGCAAACGATAGTTTTCTCAGCTGTTTTCTTTCTTACTTTCTCAATGTCTACATCAGCTTTCAAAATAATTTGCTCATAGTGCTATGCTGTGTTCAACAGATGCTTCATCAGGCTATAAATACGGCCACTTAAATATAGCTGTTCCTAAACTGCCATTCATTTTGCTGACATTCTACAGTAGCCCCCCCCCCCACATCTTAGGTGCTGCCGTGATTAAATCCAGAAATGAACCCCAGACAAGGACAAGAAATCTTTTATCTCAATGGACAACCCAAGGCCCTGCATATGAATTTAGACTGCAGCTCCCCATCAGCTCTGTCCAGCGCAGCCACGGAACAAGGATGATAGGAAATGCAGTTCAATAATATATGCCCCTCCCCCTTCAGGTTCCCCATCCTTACCTGAAACATTTCATCTTTTACTTAATTACCTCCTACAGGGACTTCTATAAAACATCTGAAAGGCAGGACCCAGAAAATGGTTTTGGAAAGGGGAGAAGGAGTGTTGTTCGACAATTAGGCAGTACCTGTTCCCCATTCACAGCTATGAGCATATATTTATTTATTGAACATATTTATTTAGTCTCCTTCATAAGCTGCCTTTCTCTCCATTTAGAGGGCCCCAGGAGATTCACAAGGTTTAAACAAGTAAATTTAAAAGACAATTACACATTTTAAAAAACCACATCGTAATAATCAAATACGTCAAGTGATTAAAAGCACTAACTTTAAAAACAAAGCTACAAAGTGAAAAGCTAACAGTCAGCATCCAGAGACTCGACTTTAAAAGTTACATGTTAAGGTTAAAAGTCTGCCTGAAAAGGTGGGTCTTCAGCCGTTGATGGAAAGATAAAAAGGAGGGGGTCAACTTAGTCCTCTGAGGAAAAGTATTTCATTATCGAAGGGCTGCCTCTCTCTCGTGTCCCGGCCAAGCAATTAAGGGAGAAGTATTCACAATAATATACAAAAAAATAAAACCACCCAAATGTACAGTACCTTCTTTAGCTCATTATCTGCACTAATTAAGGCACCCCTCTTTTCCTCCTTACCTTGTGACCGACCCAGGATTTTGTTATTAAGCTCCTCTTTTTCCTGTTTCAGCAGCACATTCTCTTCTTCCAAGTCTGATATCCGCTAAAGAGGAAACCAGAGAGACATGTTATCATCTGCAACGTAGGTCAACCTGAGTTCAGCCAACTTCCACAGAACGGCTGAATTTCACCTGGCTGGCTTTCACACCTAAACCGGCTCCTTGTTCTTCTTCAATTGCTGGAATAACTATACACCATGGTGAAAATTTCACCTTAACACCCGACTCTGAAGAATTGCTTTGGATGCTACGTTATAAGGACTTGCAACTTGTCAAGTTTTTTTTAAAAAAATGAACGTAGAGTTTAGTTATGAACAGTGTCTGCTTTGTGCGTCAAAGGAACAGAGGTTTCTATTCATTCTACTTGTCTTCTTGGAAACATATCAGAGAATCCCTGATGAGAAGATCGGTAATGGTGGACAGAATTCCTCCATGCCTTCCAGGTCTTCCCTTGTAACTTGCAGTAACAGGAAAATTCTGGGTAGCTCTACGGCAGCGGTGCCCAACCTTTTTGGGACTGCGGACTGGTTGGGGTGTGTGGGCTCCATGTGCAAGGGGACCCCATGCTTGTGGGTGGGCGTGCCCCTCCGTGAGCACAACCCCATGCTTGTGGGTGGGCGTGTCATGCTTGAGGGTGGGCATGCCCCTCCGTGAGCACAACACACCCACTGTGCATTGCGTGTGTGTATGGGGTAGCATGACACACCCACTGTGCATGCGTGCGTGGAGGGGTGGAGATCCGCTTCTGCGGCCCAGTTCCAGCAAGCCCACAGACCAGCACCGGGCCGCGGACTGGGGGTTGGGGACCCCTGTGCTAAACCACTGAGTTATCCAGCAACAACTATTTGGAGACCAAGAAAATCTTTTTTTTTCTCTCCCCTCTCAAAGAATCATTTTTAAAAAAATCTTCGTACTTTCCTAGAAAGTTCTTCCTACTCCAGTTTCATTTCAGAAATGGTCAGTTCTGCTTCTCAGAATGCAATTTATTTAAATAGGAGTCACATTCCACTATGTTCTACAGACATAATGGGAAGAATGAGCTCTGTATAGCATCACGGAATATTGAAGACAGATTTCTAACTTGTGCTTTAAAAAGAAACAGACAAAAAAATGTGTAAGCACCAAAATGTTTTCCATAAAACTTGAAGTTGTAAGCCGCCCACTGTCTAGTTGGGTGGGGTATAAATTTAATAAACAAACAAACAAACGAATGAATTTCAAACACCTCCCGGCTAAAGCTGAGGATATCTGAGAGAAAAACTCCACATTGCTATTGGATTCCAAAGCCATTCCAACTACTAGAAGCCAAGACACTCTAATGTGTGATTTCTCCTCTGAAATGGAGGAATAATTCTCTTACAATACATGAAACTTTATTTTGTTTTGGAAAGCAAAGATTGGTGTAGACTTTGCTTATACTAGGCCCCAAATGGCAGATCTAAGAGACGTCGCCATATCCACACAAGGTCATATTTATCTCCACATAACAGTCTTACTTCACTGAATTACTTGGGATAAAATATATCCGTGCACACAATATTGTTCCATTGTGATGTTTGTGGGCAGGACTACGGGCCAGTGCCCCACATTTCACTGTGGTGTTCTTCTCAGTCAACACAAATTGCTGCTCAAAGCAGAACAAGTATAATTTGGAAAATTGCTACCCAGAGTGTATGTGGATTTTGAGTTGCCAGAGAATGAAAGCTTTAAGTTCCAGTATAATAAAGATTTTTTTTTTTTGCTGCCTCAGTTAAGACTAACAATGCATGCCTCCTAAGCCTCACATCCACATAACACTTTAATTTTATCTATGTTCATACACTACCCTTCCGTCTTGGCAGGCAAAATTTACAGAGGTTATTTTATCAATAATTACTCAGGGCATTAAAAAGCAACCCTAAATGAAAATAAGGAACTCGTGGGGAGCAAACTCTCAATATATAAAGGAAGTTCAAACTGCATTAGAAGGAGTGACTCTATGCGTTTGACCCATGAGGGGAAGACAAAAGTGGAAATGTAAAAGGTCTTGGTGCATTAGTTTTCCCTATGATAAGAACACAGCTGTTCGGTTTATCACATGTATCATGTTATTGCAAACTAAAAAGTCACCAAGAAAGCAGCCCGTATGTAGTACAATTAAAAACTGGCCAAGATCATCATCTTTGTATGACTGGGCTATTGGAGAGTTACTAAGACTTTGGTAACCATCAGCAGCATTTCTGAGGTCTGTCTGTATAACAGCATTAGAGGAGCCCTGCTGGATCAGGCCAAGGGCCCATCTAGTCCAGCTTCCTGTATCTCACGGTGGCCCCACCAGATGCCTTTGGAAGCACACGAGACAACCATACACCTGTCTCCTGATACCTCTCTCCTGCATCTGGCATTTGGAGGTACCTTCCTTCTAAGCATTATACATCCCCATCATGGCTTGTCACCTGCGATGGACTTTCCTCCAGGAATCTGTCCAATCCCCTTTTCAAGGCCTCTAGGCCAGATGCCATCACCACATCCTGGGGCAAGGAGCTCCACAGACGAACCACACGCTGGGTCAAGAAAGATTTTCTTTGGTCTGTTCCCACTCTCCCAGCACTCAAATATGAGCAGATGTCCCCTGGTTCTCGTATTGCGTGAGAGGGAAAAGAGCTTCCCCCCCTATCTACTTTATCCACCCCCTGCATAATTTTATACATCTCAATCAGGTCCCCCTCAGGCGCTTTTTCTCTAAACTAAAGAGCCCCAAATGCTATTGCCTTTCCTCATCAGGGAGGTCCCTCAGCCCAGTCATCATTTTAGTCACTCTCTTCTTCACCTTTTCCAGTTCCACTCTGTCTTTTTTCAGGTGCAGCGACCAGAACTACACGCAATACTCCAGGTGCAGCCTTACCAGCGTTTTGTACAATGGCATTATAATGTTGGCTGTTTTATTTTCAGTCCCGCTTTTTAATGATACCTAGCATGGAACTGGCCTTCTGCGCTGCTGCCACATGCTGGGTTGACCCTTTCATCGGGCTGTCCACCTGCACACCCAGTTCTCTTTCCTGATCCATCACAGAGAGCTCAGAACCCATCAGCTGATAACTAAAGTTTTGAATTTCTTCCCCAATCTGCATTACCTTACGTGTTCTTATACTGAAATGCATTTGCCACTTTGCCGCCTGCATGTCAAGCCCAGTCCCCAACAGAGTTGATAGGGGCTGCCAGCAGCAGAAGACAGGGTCTCAAAGTCACTGTAAAGTTACTTTTCAAAAAGTAATTAATTCCCCTTATTCGTTTTACTGTTTAAGAAGTAATTTCTTGCTCTAAATTATGACAATGTAACGCAAAAGAAATAATTGGCTGCAATATTAGTTGGGTGCATATTTTTACACAGCTACCTCCTTGAAAAAAATGACATAAAATACGGCAATAATTTTGGTCCCACGTTTCCTTTTTGAAATGCAACATTGCCATACTCTTGTTACAAACAAATCTTAATGTAGCCAGTTTACTTGGAACCTGACACTTCCAAATCCTGGTTTTGATACTATGGCCAGAATCAAACTGTTCCATTACACCAAGATTTGGTGCAATGCCATAAAACATAGTGTCAAATTGCCCCTAGTTAATGAGTTGCCACTAGCATTCCTCATTTTTACCAACTCACACATGTGACGAGGGATACAAGCAGTGACTTCTTCAGTAGTGGCAGTTCATGGCAACAATTTATGACAGGGCACTTAAGCCAGCATAAACCAACCAACAAAATTCTGGCCACGAGAGACGGTCTATAAGTTTCTAGAAAGCATTACCTTTTGGAGCATATCCTTCTCTTTTGTGTAGGTGTCTTCTACAATCTTTCTTTCCCCATGAGCCTTTTCCAGGGCCAGCCGGAGAGAGTCCATCTCTTCTTGCAAACTTGCAATCTGGTTGCTGTCCCCTTTCTTCTGCTGGTACTGTTGCAGTTCTTTCTTCAGTTTCTCCATCTCCGTTGCATGAGCAGAGGTGGTTGCGGAGAACTGCTCGTTCAGGAGCTTGTATTCTTTGTTCTGCAGTGAGTGAGGCAACGGAACATAAGAACACAGCCCAACATCTCTCAAGAGAAATAACACACCAAAAAGGGCAGAACATTTGCAAACAGTTTTAAAATAATAAATTAGTATTATTGGTTGGTAGGTTTCTAGCATTGTGTCCACCACTCTCTCAACTATCAAAGTTTTTTAAAAGGCATTCTAATACAATTAATAATTTCCAGGAGTGGGTGGGTAGCCATTTTAGTCTGTTACAGGAAAAAAAATATTAATAGTCTTGTGACACCTTAAAGCCAGGTTGGGCAAAATGCGGAATCCCATCTGGTTTTTCCAAAGGCAAGTGGCTGCTCCTAGAATCCTCCAGGAGCAGCATTTCATCTTTTAAATTCATCATATTCATGTTTAATACCAAAAGGTAAAGGTAAAGGTTCCCCTTGACAATATGTCCAGTCGTGTCTGACTCTATGGCGTGGTGCTCATCCCCTTTTCCAAGCAATTGAGCCAGCATTTGTGTGAAAACAGTTTCCATGGTCACGTGGCCAGCACAACTAGACACGGAACACCGTTACCTTCCCACTGAGAAGTGGTACCTATTTACCTACTTGCATTTTTACATGCTTTCGAACTGCTAGGTTGGCAGGATTAATACCAAAAGACACCATTAAAAACAAAAACAAATGGAAGTGAATGCGCAGCTACTTCCAAGTTAGTACCCATCCAGCCTTTATTAAATAAAAATAAAAAATAAAAAAATTAATAGCCATCCAGCCTTTTTTTTCATTTTGCACATGGTCTATGCTGTCCCTCTGGTGTCCTGTTGCAAAACCTGGCCCCAGGCCCACTGAAACTGTTTATCTTTGCCTTAAAAGACTTTGTCCCATGTTCAACTAGAGTAGAGCCACTGAATCAATTGGATTAACATATGCTGTCTCACCACTAAACAACTGATTCAATGGGTTTACTCAGAACAAGCAACTGAATTTAGGTCTAATGCATTAACAACAACAACAACAACAACAACAACAACAACAACAACAACAACAATAAGTGTGCCCTCAATTCTGAATTATGGCAACCCTTTCCAGGGTTTTCTAGTTAGAGAGTGGCTTGCTCAGAAGTAGCTTACCATTGCCCTCTTGTGGGGCCTTGGGACTGTGCATCTTACCCAAGGCCACCCAGGCTGGCTTTTCTCCCAGAAGGCACAGTGGGGAATCGAACTCCCAACCTCTGGCTCCACAACCAGATACCTATCTAGTCAGCCAATAACTGCAGGCTGTTAAGTCAATTATGGTGACCTCATTGTAGTGCATTAGCTATGACATAATTTTTGTGGACTAAAGTTCATTTCTCTAGATTAACAGACTCTCATAAATAAGTATTCCTTAAGAAGTACCAAAAAGTAAACTGCATATAACTCTCAAAGCTTAGTAAAGATTTAGGCTCTTTTTTGGCTACTGCCACCCAGACAAGTTTTTAAAAATGTGTCTCACCAGTCCCTTGACCCTCATGTAAATAATACCATTCTATGTATTCTCGAAGGCTTTCACGGCCAGGATCTGATGGTTGTTGTGGGTTTTTCGGGGTCTTTGGCCATGTTCTGAAGGTTGTTCTTCCTAATGTTTCGCCAGTCTCTGTGGCCGGCATCTTCAGAGGACAGGAGTTAGAACTTGTGTCTGTGTTCTCAACTATCCCACACACTACACCAGTGGTGTCGAACTGTGGCCCTCCAGATGTTCTTGGACTTCAACTCCCAGAAGCCTTCACCACCACCTCTGCTGGCCAGGATTTCTGGGAGTTGAAGGCCAAGAACATCTGGAGGGCCACAGTTCAACACCACTGCACTACACCAGAGCACAGACAGAGTTCTGACTCCTGTCCTCTGAAGATGCCGGCCACAGAGACTGGCAAAACGTTAGAAAGAACAACCTTCAGAACACGGCCAAAGAGTCCGAAAAACGCACAACAACCATCAATACTATTCTATATTTGCATTGACACAGATGTTTTATTGATATTCACCAGATTCATTTGTTTTTCTATAACAGCAAAAAGAACAAAGACTGCAGCTCTGTATAGTCTAATGGGTTTTACTCAATGTAAGCTTTTTTGGACTCTAGTCTTCTATGTCAGATGCAGAATTTTATAATCATCTAATGTCTGTAATCCAGGTTTGGCACTCCTCTAAGTGGAAAGGCAGGTTATAAATTTTGTAAACATTAAGACGTCCTCTTACCAATTCCTCATGTACATATGTACTTTGGTCTAGATGGGCGGGGTATAAATTTAATAAATAAATAAATATTATCGAGATGGTTACAATCTGCATTCAAATATTTTGCTCTTAATGTAACTATCACCAAAAAACTCATCTGCATACTGGTTGATGCTGAAGGCCTGTGAGACTATCCAAATGTGTGGTCTCAGTTTTCGTCCTTTGAAATTTACAGAATGACCTTAAGCCACCCCCTTTCTCAGCCTGACCTACTTCGCAGGGTTGTTATGGGGAGTACAAGAACAGCTCTTAGTTCATCGAAGGACTCGTATGTCTGTGTTTATAACTAATTGATTAATAAACAAGCAAATAGAGCCTGCTGGATCCCACAGAAAAGTGACCAAACAAATTTAGAATGCCCTCAGGAGCCAGTTTCAGTTCTTTATTGGAGGCGGATTTTCTCTTGTTCCAATTTTATGCCCTGACAAGGGAGTGCTTTGAAGAATACCACGTAATAGGGATGCCATCAAAATGAATGAGAGCCAATAACTAGCAGACAGGCTCTGAAATGAAATTAGGCAGAAAGGAGGTTTGGGAATCTCATTAAGTGTCTTTAGAACAGCAATAAGTGATTGTCTCAGGGAAACTGAAATGAGAGAGGGAGTGTGTGTGTGTATGTATTTGCATATGCTTGTCTATGCGATGGTTGGTGGGAAGAGATAAAGCACTGGGCGACTAGAAAGAAGCAGGAAGTCTTGCTCAAGGGGTGTAGATGGCACAGCAATTTCTAAGTTCTTCATTGTTCTCTAGATCTGTGGTTCCCAACCTTGGGTCCCCAGATGTTTTTGGACTAAAATTCCCAGAAATCCTGGCCAGAGCAGCTAATGGTGAAGGCTTCTGGGAGTTTTAGTCTGGGAACATCTGGGGATTCAAGGTTGGGAACCACTGCTAGATGATTTTGAAAGTTCAGGAGTGCAAGAGGATTGGAATGAAAAGTGGCAAGACTGTCCCTGGATGAATCTGTCAAAAGAGCTAAAAACAATCAACAGCCAAAACCGCATTGCCTGAAAACCTGCCTTTTTTTTTTTTTAAGGAGGAACACATTAGTATACAAGCAGAATTATACTAATTTCTATCACTACTTAGAGCAATATGGGGCTTCAAAAGCAAGCCATAGGATCAGGGGCTAGAAGCAACCATAAACAGGTACATATACAGTTGGGTCTTGACTTGAGAACTTAATCCGTATTGGAAGGCGGTTCTCAAGTCAAAAAGTTCCCAGGTCAAATCTGCATTTCCCATAGGAATGCATTGAAAACCATTTGATCCGTATCTGCTCTTTTCCGTCCATAGAAACTAATGGGAAGCTGCTATTCCGCCTTCGACCACTGGAGGGAGATATTTTGTTTCTTTTTGTCTTAGGTCAAGAAAGGTTCAGGGAAGGCAGGGAAAAGACAGTCCAGGCAGGCCAGTACCAGGCAGGCCGAAGACTGTCTCCCAATCCACTCTCTAAACGCTGGGAGGAGTGAGGAAGCAGACAGGCACCCTTTTCACTGGCCAACAGTTAACTGAAAGTTCACATTTTGCACTTTCCCTGCCTCCCACGTGGGTTTTTTCAGGTCGTAACTCAAATCTAAGTATGTAAGTCAAGTCAATATTTTCCTATGAGAGCAGTTCTTAAGTCAAAATGTTCTTAACTCAAGCCGTTCTTAAGTCAAGACCCCACTGTACATGTATCATAAATATTCACATAGATGAAGGCACTTCCAGCTGACATTTGTATTCTGCATTTCCTGAAAATTTACAGATGGTATTTTTGTCTTTTTTCCCATTTGTAACCATCCTGTGCTTTTCTATTGCCTGCACTATCCTTCCTCTTTAAAAAGCAATATTAAGAGAACCCAAAGATACTCCTTAGCTAATTATCTGACTTTAAACTACGAAAGATGTATCGTGGGAGAAAGCAAACATCTCTTCTATGGTCTTTGCCACATGAGTAGACTATTGAAGAAAATAGCCTACATAAAATGTATTGATGCAAAAAGAATTCCTTGAGAGAAGAAGAGAAATTTGTAGCAGCTTCATTATATTCATGTACTAGACAGGTTCCCACAGCACCTGTCTTGAAGCACATTCTTTCTAAGTCTACTCCCCTTTTGCATATTACACTGTCTAATAAATTGGTGGAGATGCAGCTCTTTTAGAGATACAGGAGTTTTAATATCTGATACAGTAGGATCCCTTTATCCACAGGGTCAAGTATCCGCTGATTCACTTATCCACAATCTGAAAATATAAAAAAAAATGAAAAGAAAAATCCTAGAAATATATACAGGCCACTAAAGGGAGCCAGACCTATAGCATTTGTTAGAAAAATATATTTCCACAGTGTCATTTCCAGAACCTGCCACTAAAGGGAGTCTGAGTCATGCTATATATAGGTAAAGGTTCCCCTTGACAATTTTTGTCCAGTCGTGTTCAACTCTAGGGGGCGGTGCTCATCCCCGTTTCCAAGCCATAGAGCCAGCGTTTATCCGAAGACAATCTTCCATGGTCACATGGCCAGTGCGACTTAGACACGGAACACTGTTACCTTCCCACCAAGGTGGTCCCTATTTATCTACTTGCATTTGCATGCTTTTGAACCACTAGGTTGGCGGGAGCTGGGACAAGTGACGGGCGCTCACTCCATCACATGGATTCGATCTTATGACCAGCAGTCAATCTTACGACTGCTGGTCTTCTGACCCTGCAGCACAGGCTTCTGCGGTTTAGCCCACAGCGCCACCACAGCGGCGCATTTTCT